CTCCAATACCCTCAGCAGCTCCAGCACCTCCAGGAGCCAGAACCCTCAGCGCCAGCTCCTCCAGGACCAGCTCCACCAGCTGCAGCACCCCCAGAACCGGCACCTCCAGTCCCAGGGTCTCCAGCCTCAGTGCCTCCAGCGGCAGTACCCCCAGACCCAGGGTCTCCAGCAGTAGCACCCTCAGACACAGCACCTCCAGCCCCAGCAGCTCCATTACCTCCAGTACGGGCACCTCCGGGACCAGCGACTCCAGCACCTCGAGTAGACAAAGGACCAGCACCACTCCCATCTCCAGTGACGTCAGCAGAAGTACCTCCAGCAGCAGAGCCCCGAGCTCCAGAAGCGCGACCCTAACGACGACCGTACCAGTCGTGCAGCTGCTGTGAGGTGAGAGGCACACGCGGACGAAGGCGGCTACTCCAAGGAGACCGCGTAACAGCAGTCTCAGAACCCTCAGGCGTCGCACCCCCAGACTCAGCACCCCCAGGCTCCTCACACGCAGGCTCAGCACCCCCAGACACAACACCCCTAGGCTCAGGACCTCCAGGCTCCTCATGCGCAGGCTCAGCACCTCCAGGCTCCGCACCCTCAGGCTCCTCACGCTCAGGCTCAGTGCCCCCAAACTCCGCACCCCCTGTCTCAGCACCTCCTGGGTCCTCACGCTCAGGCTCCGGACCCCTAGGCTCAGCACCCCCACGCTCCGCACTGCCAAGCTCCGCACCCCAAGGGACAGCACCACCCCCAGCAGGACCTGAGTCACCAGTGACCTCAACAGGCGCAGGTACAGGAGGGTCTACCTGAGAGACACCAAAAGGAGCAGGACCTGACGCGGGGAGGGGGTCTATCTCAATACCTAGGGCGAGAAAGAGCGGCGGGGGGGGGGCGAGGGGCAGTGCGGTAGGGAAAGAGACGGTAAAAGGGAACTGACTCGTCAAAGGTGACGTCCTAAGACGGAAAGACACGGCGCGAGGCGGGGTCGTAAAACTGCCAGCCAGGCGCGTCAGGGACAAAGCCAAGGAAGACGCAGAGAATGGCGCGAGGGGAGAGCTTGTCCGCGGTGGCATCGCGGTAAAAAGGCACGAGCACCCCAGACCCGGAAACGCGACGCATCGCCAACCTTCCCCGTCTACAGCAGTGTGGGCAAGGTCTCTGGCAAGGAGACACGGGGCCAGAGGTTGAGCTGATGCGCGGCGTACCGGACCGCAAACGGCCACAGAAAATGGGGGGCAGCTGCATGGATCATGGAGGTACGAGCGACCTCCATGACTAAGCCAATGCGGCGCTCAGCAACCCCATTCTGCTGCGGAGAGGCCGGAAGCGTGAACGTCTGGCGGATGCCGTGCTTCGCACAGAAGGCTGCCAAGAGGTCTGAGGAGAACTCACCACCTTTGTCAGAGTGCAGACGTAGGACAGGAAAGTCCGACTTGAACTGCTCGCGGAGCTGGAGACGAACAGCGTGGATCCAGGGGATCAAAACATCAGGGACCTCCCCCTTGCGCTGCAAGAAGAAGACCGTGGTGTAACGCGTGTAGTCGTCGACAACCAGCAGGAAGTACCGCTCGTGGCCCTGTCCACAGACGCGGGCTGGGCCTGACACGTCCAGGTGGAGAGTCTGCAGTGGAGCCTCTGTGGGAGGGAACGAGGAGGAGTGAGGAGCGGCGCGCTGCCGCCCCTCGACGCAAGGAATGCAGGGCGGCGCAGGCGAGGGAGGGAGGGCAGGTAGAGACCTGGGAAGGCCAGAGACCAGGAAGCGAGAGTGCATGCTACGAAGGCGAGTCAGGGAGGGGTGACCAAGGCGGTAGTGCCAAAGGAGAGTGTCGTGCGACAGCCGGCGACACTCACACTGGGTAGCTACCTGAGTAGACGCGTACAGCTGGGGAGACAAAGGGGTGGAGCGCGACGCAGTGGTGAGGGTGTACAGACTGGACCCAGGCGCACGTGTGAACGTGGCCAGGTGACGGCCGGTCCGGGAGCACGTGCAGATCACCACACGCTGTCCTCCAGGAGTAAAGGTGTCAACCCAGTGATCCTGAAGGACGGCGTTGCTCACCAAGTTCGTAGAGAACGAGGGGAGGTGGAGACCAGACAGCTCACCAGACGGGACCGCCGGACACGGAAGCACAGTGGAAGACCGTGCAAGCACTGGGCCCCCAGAGGGGTCAGCCAGTGAGACAGGAACAGGTGCAGGGAGGGGAATGAATGTGGTGCTGTCGCGAAAGAAACAGCGGGAAGCACTAGAGTCAAGTGTGAAGGTGTGCAAGGCCTGTGCGGACGCAGTACCAGGGGGAGCAGACTCACAAGCACCTAGTGCCACAGGCGCTATACCTGGGGCTATACCGGGGTCAGGCGGCACACACAAGTAGCAGTCACCCTCAGCACTAACAGTCAATGCATACATGGCAGCAAGAATAGCCTCATAGTCAAGATCAAAGATAGGTACATCACGCCTAAGCAGGTCTGCCCAGTTGGGGAACTCAGTAGCATCAGGAAACTTGACGCGCCAGGCGTCGCTAAGCCGAGCGAAGCAGCAGTACTCAGTGTGGAACCCTGTGCACTGGTGACCAGCGCGTGGACCTGCGCGAATGATATAGGGGCAGCGACCAGGACCCCCAGACGCCCCACGCCCAGCATACCAGTCAAGAAGCTGCTGGGAAGTGGGGGTCTGGCGCTGACGCTGCTGCGGCTGCTGCTGCTGTTGCTGCTGCTGCCCCTCGCCACCACTGGTGTCACCCAAGCCCCCACCACCGCTGCCACCACCACTCCCCCCTCCGCCACCACCGCCGCCGCCACCGCCACTGCTCCCCGCACCACCACCGCCCCCACCACCACCTCCACCCCCACCACCTCCACCTCCCCGGCCGCCTCCACCACCGCCCCCTCCACTGCCACGTCCGCCACCCCTGCCACCCTTGCCTCCCCTAGAGCCGCTGCGCTTCCCAATAGGAGCGGAAGCAGCTGCGACCTTCTCAGCACCAAGGAGGTCGACAGCAGCAGCTGCGGAGGCGTAGGAGGGGGTAAGAGGGGAGGGGGAGCGCCCCTCAAAGAGGGGAGAGCGAGGAGTACCACGAGCAGCACCTACAGCGAGGATGTTCTTCTCTGCTGCTAGGAGGTGCTTCTCGAAGTCGGCGACAGTGAGAGTGGTAGGGTCTAGGGCTAGGAAGTGGTCCCTGATGGAGCTAAGAGTGTCAGGGAGGCGGGTGACGAGGAAATAGAGAGTGAAGTACATCGAGAGGGGGGGGGGGTTGCGGCGCAGAACTCGGCTGGAAGGGCGGCACGAAAGCGAGTGTCACTAGTGCGAAGGTGAGAAATGAGGTCCTCAGCAGTGGTAAACCAGGACAGGTCGGGGAACAGGTAGGGTGGCATGAGCCGACCTAGGGCTGCAGTGGCCGGGGAGGAGTAGCGCGCAACTACAGCGTCGTACAGTGCCTTAGCAGTTTTGTGCTGGCTGAAATGCGCGCGCTCAGTGATCGGCAGATGGTTCCTAATAGCTAGGCGTGCAGCAGCATCGTGAGTCTGCCCCTGTGAGCGTTCAAGAGCAGAAGCATCGTCATCAGGAGCAACGGCAGTGCCAGACACGTAATCGAACAGTCAAACGCCATCTTTGGCATCGGTCAGAAGGAACAGTTGGAGATCGTCGAGCCACACAGCGAACTCGATCGGGCGACCGTCAGGCTCAAACGCGAGAACATTAAGCGTCGCCATAATTGCAGTGCAGGTAAAGCCAGTTGGCTAAGGCAGTAGGCAGTAGGCAGCAGGCAGCAGGCAAAGGCAAAGGCAGCTCAGGCAGCGCGCGGGGCAGTAGCAGGCCGCGCGTAGGCTGCAGCAGCGGGCCGCGCGCGGGCTCCTAAGGCAGCTAGCGGAGCAGCAGCGGGCTGCGCAGGCGGTAGACGCGACGCGCGGGGCAGCAGCGGGCTGCGCAGGCAGCAGACTCGGCGCGCGGGGCAGCAGCGGGCCGCGCTGGCGACGGACGCGGCGCGCGGGGCCTAAGCGGGCTGCGCGCGGCGGCGGGCTGCGCGGGCTCGTCGCGGGCTGCGCGAGCGGTGCGCGGGCGATGCGGGCTCGGCACAGGCTGCGGGCGCGGCGCGCGGCGCTGCAGCGGGCTGCGGAGGCGGCTGCAGCAGTAGCGCGCGCTAAAAAAGATACGCGCGTGTGCAGCCGAGGCGCGTGCGGTCAGCAGGCAAGGCAGGCAGGCAGGCAAGGCCGTAGGTGAGGTAACGCGGTAACAGGTGGGCCCTAATCTTAGGTCCTAAAGACCTACTGCTCTGATACCATCTTAGAAACTAGTCAGGAATGGTTGACTATTGGGAAGATTGGGTACAAGTACAAAACCCTAGCAATGTGTTGTACCCCATATGTGCTACCCCACTACAGCCTACACCCTAACATTATATATATAGTTTGACAGGGAGTAGGTATGAGCGAATAGCGGATGGACAGAGCACGCTAATAGGTTTCCCGCAGTTGAGGTTTGAAGGGCTTAGGGCAAACGTTGAAGAGGATACGACGAGGAAGGGGATGCGACGAACTAAGGAGGGGCCGCAACGGCCAAAGGAAGGGCTGATGGCTTTAGGAAGGGTCAATGGCCTTAGGAAGGGGACTTGGCAGCCTTGGGAGGTCGGAATGAAATCGAAAGTATGAACTTTTTGTACAATTGGTGGGTCGTGTAATGTTTTGTCGTCTAGTGGGGATTGAACCAAATACTTGTCAAAATAAAGCAGCTGGGTTTAGGTAAGCTATATGGGGGTCGTCATATGTGGAGGGAAAAAAAGGGGGTTGGGGGGGGGGAGGGAAGGAGGGAGGAGATCCAGGGGATTACAGCAGCTGCAGGCTCACGATAGGAACGGATGGACCCTGAATTTGCTATGCTCATGCTGGCCACAAAGATACCGTATTGGGATGCTTGAATCCATGATTAATGGTTCTGCGTATCTCTAGTTCATTACAAGATTGTACGTATACACCAATATCAGCACCATCAGTCCTGCTTCACACTCGCAACGCTAGGAGAGCTGCGCGTGCTGCTGCTCTTCTGCCCGCCACTCTGATCTGGAGACACCATTGGCGATAATCTTGTAGCGCTACCTTGCTCTCTGGCACCAAAGTACCCTCCACCTCGCACAGCAGTGTCAACTGATGCAGCCATTGCAGATGGTGTTACCACTACCAACGAATCAGCAACACCTGTCACGCTGCGCGCTCCCGCATCCCCCCTTCCCTTGCCCGATTCGCGAATGGGGGCAGCCGAAAAACTTGAAGCAAGCTCAACTCCGCCACCATCCCCCCTACCCCTACCGGCAGCACTACTACTACTACTACTACTACTACTACTACTACTACTGGTACAACTGCTGGAATCTGCAGCAGGAGCATCGGAAGGTCGCACAGTCACGGCAGGAGGTTCAAGAACCAGTGCATTTGATGCAAGTGCGGCCGTGCCGGAAGGAATGGGAGAACGGGCTAGTGGCGAGGCGGTAGTGGGAGGAGAGGGTGCAGTGGGGGAGGAAGGTGCAACAGCAGAGGCCACAGCAGGAGGAGCGGCAGGAGACAGAGGAAGGGCACGAGGAGGAGGAATCGGGCTGGCGTGGGATGACGAAGCAGCAGCAGGAGGAGGAAGAGGAGGAGGAGCAGCAGGAGTATTTGCAGGAGAACCAGCAGCTGGAGCAGGAGCAGCGGCAGCAGGAGCAGAAGGGTGAGGGGTGGGGGAGCGGGGGCTGGGAGTGGGGGTGGCGGAGGCAGCGGCGCGCAGCAGAGTGGCCACCACAACTGTGTGGTTGTTGTCCCTCGCCTCGTCCATGGGCGTGCGCTGCCACCGGTCCCGCACACTAGGGCTCGCCCCTCCCTGCAGCAGAACCTGGTTGACAGGGGTTGGGTTCAGGGCATGGGGTTTGGGGTTCAGGATTTGAAACCAAGGATTTGGGCCTTGGAATGTGGGTTTATGGGAAGCTTAACGAGTGGGTGTGGTTGTTGTCCCTCGCCTCGTCCATGGCTGTGCGCTACCACCGGTCGCGCACACTCGGGTTCAGTGTTTAAAGAAGGAAGTTAGACCTGGCATGATTTCCGTTGCTTGCGGTGTCCCCGTGTCCCCCCCACATCTGGGGCTCTCAGACCTTGCCGCAGAACCTGAATCATGTTGATTCGCAAGTCACGTGCACTCACCTTGCCTGACCTGGACTCGCATTGAATCTTATTGACCCACCTGGACCACGTTGAGATGGGCCTGGGTAGAAGACACATGCAGCACCTGTGATGTGCCCATCATAGTCAGCCACGTTGACTCCCATACCACAATCACCTTGACTCCCATTGACCCCCATTGACTCCCATTGACCCCCATTGACTCCCATTGACCCCCATTGACTCCCATTGACCCCCATTGACTCCCATTGACCCACCTTGACCACGTTGAGGTGCCCCTCAGCAGCCGCCACGTGCAGCGCGGTGCGGCCGTCGTAGTCAGCGGAGTTGGGGTCAGCGCCGAACTCCAGCAGCCGCGCCAGCTGGTGCGAGTTGGACGAGCTGGCCAGGCGGCACAGATGCGTGCCCTGGTTGCGCAGATGCAGCTCGCCCCCGTTGCTGCAGGGTAGGGGAAGAGGAGTGGGGACGGGGAGAAGGGGACAAAGCGAGAGGAAGAGAGAGGGAGAGGAAGAGAGATGGAGAGGGGGAGGAGGGACGGGTCGTCACAGGTGCAACTCGCCACCGTTGCTGCAGAACCGATCACCACTGCAGCAGCACAGGTGGTGCATGCCCTGGTGCACCACCTGTGCTGGACACGCAGCACAACTTATGGGATGCCTCGAATTGAGCGGCTAGGCTGGGAAGTGCACAAGGGCGCTTGTCTGTTTGCATGGTGAAGCTTGGTGAGGGCGACTGGATGGGGGAAGAGAAGGGGAGTGGATGGGAAAAGAGCAGGTGGAGGAGAGGCGAGGGGACGTGCGAGTAGAGTGAAAGGAGTGTGAAGCAGCACAGGCAGCATGGGCCCGGGTGCTGGCATCCCTTCCAGTGCTGGCATCCCTTCCAGTGCTGGCATCCCTTCCAGTGCTGGCATCCCTTCCAGTGCAAGGGACCGATAAGTCGTCACGGGCGAGTGCCTTGAGGTCCTTGCGTGTGCGCATGAATGTATGGATGGGCTCACCTGCAGGACTGGAAGGGGGGAAGGGAGGGGGAGTGAAAGGCGCGCCGGGTGGTTGGGGTGGTGGTGGAGCAGGCGAGATGGCACGTGTGCTTCCGGTGATTGCGCGGCTGGGTCATTCCCTGGTGGCTGGGGGGAGATGTGGGAGGGATGGAGGGGGCGAAGTGGGGAGGAAGGCGGCGTTGGAGAGAGAGGGGGAGTGGTGAAAGATAGGAAGCGGAGAAGTAGGGGAGTGCAAGAGAAGGGAACAGGGAAGTGGAGTGCCAGCACGTGAGGGGCAAGGAGGGCACACTACACATGGTACGGCAGAGCAGAGCAGGGCGGGCTGAGCTTTTGCCTTCCGATCCGAGGAGCATTGGCAGAGCATTGGCAGAGCATTGGCAGAGCAGTGGCAGAGCAGTGGCAGAGAGAGGTGGGCGGTGGGCGGCGCACTGACCTGCGGAGGATCTCAGCGGTGCTCCAGTGGCCGGCAGCAACGGCCTCCTGCAGGGGGGTGCGCCAGAAGGCGTCCTTGGCGTTCACCTGTGCTCCATGGGCCAGCAGGAATTGCACCACCTTGTCCTGCCCTGTCACTGCCGCCAGGTGCTGGTGGAGGGGAGGGGGGAATAGAGGAGAGGGAAAGTGGGGGGAAGAGAGGGGACATGGTGTGGGGGAAGGAGGTCAGACGGCACCACCTTGTCCTGCCCTGTCACTGCTGCTAGGTGCTGGATAACATGGAAGGGGATGAGGGGACAGTGGGGAAGGGGGAGGAGGACATGGTGTGGCGTGGTGTGGTGGGGAAAGGAGGTCACAAGGCGTTCTCGGCTGAATCAACCTGATTAGCCTGGCGAAACAACTCCCTGCACTCATCTCACACTCATTCATCTCACCATGGGCGTGCGGCCATCTCACCATGGGCGTGCGGCCATCTCACCATGGGCGTGCGGCCATCTCACCATGGGCGTGCGGCCATCTCACCATGGGCGTGCGGCCATCGTAGTCAGCAGCCGCCACATCAAAGCCGCCAGCGGCGAGGCGGAAGCACTCCAGCATGTCGCCACGCTTGGCAGCATAGCACAGGTTCATCAGCGTCTCCTGCACCAGCCGGTTGCGGAACGACTGAGGGGGGGGGGAGGAGAGGGGTGGAAGGAAAGGGTTGGGGTTCGACCCTAGAATGTACCCATTTGGGCGGCGTAGCACAGGTCCATCAGCGTCTCCTGCACCAGACGGTGGCGGAAGGACTGGACTGGCGGGCGGGGAGAGGTGGGTCAGACTGGTGGAGGGGGGAGGGGATTTGGCTTAAGACTCTAGAATGCCACGAGGCGGAGAGAGGGGTTGCCGCGTAGCACAGGTTCACAAGCGACTCCTGTACCAGTCGGTTCACAAGCGACTCCTGTACCAGTCGGTTCACGAGCAACTCCTGTACCAGTCGGTTCACAAGCGACTCCTGTACCAGTCGGTTCACGAGCGACTCCTGTACCAGTCAGTTCACGAGCGACTCCTGTACCAGTCGGTTCACGAGCGACTCCTGTACCAGTCGGTTCACGAGCGACTCCTGTACCAGTCGGTTCACGAGCGACTCCTGTACCAGTCGGTTCCGGAAGGCCTGGTGGGTGTGAGAGAGCAGCAGGGAGGAGTGGAGAAGAACAGTACAATGGGTACGGGTTGTGCAGGCAGAATGTGGAAAGATGGGGGTGAGGGAATCGAAAAGCAGCAGGAAACGGACACTTGGTGCAGCAACGGAGCTGACTGTGCAAGGGTTGAGCCAGAGGAATGATGAGTGAGGGAGGCGGGTAGGCGAAGAAGGTGGAAGTGAGGGAGTGAGGTGGGCAGGCGGAATGTGGAGATGTGGGGTAGAGGGAGATGTGGGGTAGAGGGAGATGTGGGGTAGAGGGAGATGTGGGGTAGAGGGAGGTGAACAGCGGAACGCAATGGACTCGTTGCAGAAGTCTCTTGCTGCACCCACTGAACTAATGTGCACGGGCTAAACACACAGAGCACGGGCTAAACACACAGTGCACGGGCTAAACACACAGTGCACGGGCTAAACACACAGTGCACGGGCTAAACACACAGTGCAAGGGCTAAACACACAGTGCAAGGGCTAAACACACAGTGCACGGGCTAAACACACAGTGCAAGGGCTAAACACACAGTGCAAGGGCTAAACACACAGTGCAAGGGCTAAACACACAGTGCAAGGGCTAAACACACAGTGCACGGGCTAAACACACAGTGCACGGGCTAAACACACAGTGCAAGGGCTAAACACACAGTGCAAGGGCTAAACACACAGTGCAAGGGCTAAACACACAGTGCAAGGGCTAAACACACAGTGCAAGGGCTAAACACACAGTGCAAGGGCTAAACACACAGTGCAAGGGCTAAACACACAGTGCAAGGGCTAAACACACAGTGCAAGGGCTAAACACACAGTGCAAGGGCTAAACACACAGTGCAAGGGCTAAACACACAGTGCAAGGGCTAAACACACAGTGCACGGGCTAAACACACAGTGCACGGGCTAAACACACAGTGCAAGGGCTAAACACACAGTGCACGGGCTAAACACACAGTGCACGGGCTAAACACACAGTGCAAGGGCTAAACACACAGTGCAAGGGCTAAACACACAGTGCACGGGCTAAACACACAGTGCAAGGGCTAAACACACAGTGCACGGGCTAAACACACAGTGCACGGGCTAAACACACAGTGCAAGGGCTAAACACACAGTGCAAGGGCTAAACACACAGTGCAAGGGCTAAACACACAGTGCAAGGGCTAAACACACAGTGCAAGGGCTAAACACACAGTGCACGGGCTAAACACACAGTGCACGGGATAAACACACAGTGCAAGGGCTAAACACACAGTGCAAGGGCTAAACACACAGTGCAAGGGCTAAACACACAGTGCAAGGGCTAAAGACACAGTGCACGGGCTAAACACACAGTGCAAGGGCTAAACACACAGTGCAAGGGCTAAACACACAGTGCAAGGGCTAAACACACAGTGCAAGGGCTAAACACACAGTGCAAGGGCTAAACACACAGTGCAAGGGCTAAACACACAGTGCAAGGGCTAAACACACAGTGCAAGGGCTAAACACACAGTGCAAGGGCTAAAGACACAGTGCACGGGCTAAACACACAGTGCAAGGGCTAAACACACAGTGCACGGGCTAAACACACAGTGCAAGGGCTAAAGACACAGTGCACGGGCTAAACACACAGTGCAAGGGCTAAACACACAGTGCACGGGCTAAACACACAGTGCACGGGCTAAACACACAGTGGGCTAAACACACAGTGCAAGGGCTAAACACACAGTGCACGGGCTAAACACACAGTGCACGGGCTAAACACACAGTGCACGGGCTAAACACACAGTGCACGGGCTAAACACACAGTGCAAGGGCTAAACACACAGTGCACGGGCTAAACACACAGTGCAAGGGCTAAACACACAGTGCAAGGGCTAAACACACAGTGCACGGGCTAAACACACAGTGCACGGGCTAAACACACAGTGCACGGGCTAAACACACAGTGCACGGGCTAAACAAACAGTGCAAGGGCTAAACACACAGTGCAAGGGCTAAACACACAGTGCAAGGGCTAAACACACAGTGCAAGGGCTAAACACACAGTGCAAGGGCTAAAGACACAGTGCACAGGCTAAACACACAGTGCAAGGGCTAAACACACAGTGCACAGGCTAAACACACAGTGCACGGGCTAAACACACAGTGGGCTAAACACACAGTGCAAGGGCTAAACACACAGTGCACGGGCTAAACACACAGTGCACGGGCTAAACACACAGTGCACGGGCTAAACACACAGTGCACGGGCTAAACACACAGTGCACGGGCTAAATACACAGTGCACGGGCTAAACACACAGTGCACAGGCTAAACACACAGTGCACGGGCTAAACACACAGTGCACGGGCTAAACACACAGTGCACGGGCTAAACACACAGTGCACGGGCTAAACACACAGTGCACGGGCTAAACACACAGTGCACGGGCTAAACACACAGTGCACGGCAGGGCTGACAGAGAGTGCACGGCACAGTGAGTAAGGTGAGGGGGCCAGACGAAATTAGAACGGAGGAATGGGGTAGGTAGGTTTTGGGTGCCCATCCCGAGGTCACACCCCCTTGTATCCCCCCTGCCATGCTGCCATGCTGCCATGCTGCCATGCCGCTCCCCCCCACCACCTCACCTCGACCTCGTTCTTGAGCAGCAGAGACAGCTCCGCCATGGTGCTGTTGCCGGGGTAGAACCGGGCCGTCGCCTCCGCCCTGCTGCGCGCCCTGCACAAGTCGCGGGGGCAGGGGAGGAGTGGGTGGAAAAGGTGTGATGTGGCGCTTGGGATGATGAAGAGCGTGGGGGGAGGCAAGGATTATTTAAATAAACCCATGCGAGGGGGCCGAGTGTTTAAGGGAAAAGTAGGTACGGCCCGAGCCACACTTGCTTCTTTGCGTTGAACCTCGAAACAAGTCGAACCGGTTCGGTTCAATGCGCTTCGTCTGGATAAGAAGAACCGAACCAAACAGTTCCGAGTGATCTCTTGTCGGTTCGAGTCCAACCGTTTTGACAAAAAGGTTCTATGCTCTCATGACGATACAGCACCCACCGGTTGAGCAGGTTGGCAATGACATGGCGGTCGTCAGTGGGGTGCGTGCGTGCCACAACAGAATGCCATGGTTGAACAGGATATGAGACTGTGCATGGATCACCCAACCACTCTCACCGGTTGAGCAGGTTGGCGATGACGTGGCGGTCGTCAGCGGGGTGAGTGCGAGCCACGGAGCGGTAGTCGTCTCGTGAGATGGAGAGCACCCGACACACCGACAGCGTGCGCACCGTCCACAGCTCCGTGAGGTCGCACAGGAAGGCGATCTCTAAGGGGGGTGGAGAGGGAGGGGGTAGGGCAGCACATCGGCGTTTAGCTGGGTATGGAAGGACACCGACAGCGTTCGCACCGTCCACAGGTCTGTGAGGTCGCACAGGAAGGCAATCTCTCAAGGGGGAATGTGGGAAGGCACAGGCATACTTGGTATGCCCCCCCTGGCCCCAGCGTGCCCCCCTGTCCCCTGCCTTGCACAACTCACCTCCCTTGCTCTCTGCACACCTCCCTTGCACTCCCCACACCTTCCCTCCCCACACCTCCCCATGCACTCCCCACACCTCTCCTCCCCACACCTCCCCATGCACTCCCCACACCTCCCCGCTCCAGCTGGTCAGCGTGCAGAAAGCGGCTCACCTCCCACGCAGTCCCCCTCGTGCAGCACAAACCACTGCATCTCGTTGCCGTCCTTGTCACACACCAGCACCTGCGCACGGGGGAGGGCGAGATAACAGAGAGAGAAACAGAAAAGATGGAGAGGTTGTTGTGGGCATTGTAGGGTGGGAGCGTGGGAGCAGACGCGACGATGAGCAGGTCCGTGGTGCTACCACCTCACCATGCTCTCTGGTTCCTCTGACCACACCTCACCATGCTCTCTGGTTCCTCTGACCACACCTCACCATGCTCTCTGGTTCCTCTGACCACACCTCACCATGCTCTCTGGTTCCTCTAACCACACCTCACCATGCTCTCTGGTTCCTCTGACCACACCTCACTGTGCCGCACCACACCACACGACTGCGTGCACCATGAAGCGCGCACCTGCGCCTGCCCCGAGGCAATGATGAGCAGCTCCGTGGTGCTGTTGCCGGCTGCCACCAGGTCCACGTGTGGCAGGAAGAAATCCACATTGGCCCGCGTTGTCACTTGGTCCTGCACCCATGCACACACACACACATGGGGGCGGATTGATGGAGGGATGGGGGATGGAAAGGGATTCGGAAGTGATTGTGACTAAGGGAGCATGCAATGGGGTGGGCGCAAGCAGATTTGCTGCAAATACTTGAGTGTGCAATACAGGAGACAAGGGTGATACAGGTCAATGGGTATAGGGATACAAGGTGAGTCGTACGGGAGGTGGCGCGTGGGAGGTTGCGTGTGGGAGGTTGCGTGTGGGAGGTTGCGTGTGGGAGGTTGCGTGTGGGAGGTTGCGTGTGGGAGGTTGCGTGTGGGAGGTTGCGTGTGGGAGGTTGCGTGTGGGAGGTTGCGTGTGGGAGGTTGCGTGTGGGAGGTTGCGTGTGGGAGGTTGCGTGTGGGAGGTTGCGTGTGGGAGGTTGCGTGTGGGAGGTTGCGTGTGGGAGGTTGCGTGTGGGAGGTTGCGTGTGGGAGGTTGCGTGTGGGAGGTTGCGTGTGGGAGGTTGCGTGTGGGAGGTTGCGTGTGGGAGGTTGCGTGTGGGAGGTTGCGTGTGGGAGGTTGCGTGTGGGAGGTTGCGTGTGGGAGGTTGCGTGTGGGAGGTTGCGTGTGGGAGGTTGCGTGTGGGAGGTTGCGTGTGGGAGGTTGCGTGTGGGAGGTTGCGTGTGGGAGGTTGCGTGTGGGAGGTTGCGTGTGGGAGGTTGCGTGTGGGAGGTTGCGTGTGGGAGGTTGCGTGTGGGAGGTTGCGTGTGGGAGGTTGCGTGTGGGAGGTTGCGTGTGGGAGGTTGCGTGTGGGAGGTTGCGTGTGGGAGGTTGCGTGTGGGAGGTTGCGTGTGGGAGGTTGCGTGTGGGAGGTTGCGTGTGGGAGGTTGCGTGTGGGAGGTTGCGTGTGGGAGGTTGCGTGTGGGAGGTTGCGTGTGGGAGGTTGCGTGTGGGAGGTTGCGTGTGGGAGGTTGCGTGTGGGAGGTTGCGTGTGGGAGGTTGCGTGTGGGAGGTTGCGTGTGGGAGGTTGCGTGTGGGAGGTTGCGTGTGGGAGGTTGCGTGTGGGAGGTTGCGTGTGGGAGGTTGCGTGTGGGAGGTTGCGTGTGGGAGGTTGCGTGTGGGAGGTTGCGTGTGGGAGGTTGCGTGTGGGAGGTTGCGTGTGGGAGGTTGCGTGTGGGAGGTTGCGTGTGGGAGGTTGCGTGTGGGAGGTTGCGTGTGGGGAGGTTGCGTGTGGGAGGTTGCGTGTGGGAGGTTGCGTGTGGGAGGTTGCGTGTGGGAGGTTGCGTGTGGGAGGTTGCGTGTGGGAGGTTGCGTGTGGGAGGTTGCGTGTGGGAGGTTGCGTGTGGGAGGTTGCGTGTGGGAGGTTGCGTGTGGGAGGTTGCGTGTGGGAGGTTGCGTGTGGGAGGTTGCGTGTGGGAGGTTGCGTGTGGGAGGTTGCGTGTGGGAGGTTGCGTGTGGGAGGTTGCGTGTGGGAGGTTGCGTGTGGGAGGTTGCGTGTGGGAGGTTGCGTGTGGGAGGTTGCGTGTGGGAGGTTGCGTGTGGGAGGTTGCGTGTGGGAGGTTGCGTGTGGGAGGTTGCGTGTGGGAGGTTGCGTGTGGGAGGTTGCGTGTGGGAGGTTGCGTGTGGGAGGTTGCGTGTGGGAGGTTGCGTGTGGGAGGTTGCGTGTGGGAGGTTGCGTGTGGGAGGTTGCGTGTGGGAGGTTGCGTGTGGGAGGTTGCGTGTGGGAGGTTGCGTGTGGGAGGTTGCGTGTGGGAGGTTGCGTGTGGGAGGTTGCGTGTGGGAGGTTGCGTGTGGGAGGTTGCGTGTGGGAGGTTGCGTGTTGGGAGGTTGCGTGTGGGAGGTTGCGTGTGGGAGGTTGCGTGTGGGAGGTTGCGTGTGGGAGGTTGCGTGTGGGAGGTTGCGTGTGGGAGGTTGCGTGTGGGAGGTTGCGTGTGGGAGGTTGCGTGTGGGAGGTTGCGTGTGGGGAGGTTGCGTGTGGGAGGTTGCGTGTGGGAGGTTGCGTGTGGGAGGTTGCGTGTGGGAGGTTGCGTGTGGAGGTTGCGTGTGGGAGGTTGCGTGTGGGAGGTTGCGTGTGGGAGGTTGCGTGTGGGAGGTTGCGTGTGGGAGGTTGCGTGTGGGAGGTTGCGTGTGGGAGGTTGCGTGTGGGAGGTTGCGTGTGGGAGGTTGCGTGTGGGAGGTTGCGTGTGGGAGGTTGCGTGTGGGAGGTTGCGTGTGGGAGGTTGCGTGTGGGAGGTTGCGTGTGGGAGGTTGCGTGTGGGAGGTTGCGTGTGGGAGGTTGCGTGTGGGAGGTTGCGTGTGGGAGGTTGCGTGTGGGAGGTTGCGTGTGGGAGGTTGCGTGTGGGAGGTTGCGTGTGGGAGGTTGCGTGTGGGAGGTTGCGTGTGGGAGGTTGCGTGTGGGAGGTTGCGTGTGGGAGGTTGCGTGTGGGAGGTTGCGTGTGGGAGGTTGCGTGTGGGAGGTTGCGTGTGGGAGGTTGCGTGTGGGAGGTTGCGTGTGGGAGGTTGCGTGTGGGAGGTTGCGTGTGGGAGGTTGCGTGTGGGAGGTTGCGTGTGGGAGGTTGCGTGTGGGAGGTTGCGTGTGGGAGGTTGCGTGTGGGAGGTTGCGTGTGGGAGGTTGCGTGTGGGAGGTTGCGTGTGGGAGGTTGCGTGTGGGAGGTTGCGTGTGGGAGGTTGCGTGTGGGAGGTTGCGTGTGGGAGGTTGCGTGTGGGAGGGTTGCGTGTGGGAGGTTGCGTGTGGGAGGTTGCGTGTGGGAGGTTGCGTGTGGGAGGTTGCGTGTGGGAGGTTGCGTGTGGGAGGTTGCGTGTGGGAGGTTGCGTGTGGGAGGTTGCGTGTGGGAGGTTGCGTGTGGGAGGTTGCGTGTGGGAGGTTGCGTGTGGGAGGTTGCGTGTGGGAGGTTGCGTGTGGGAGGTTGCGTGTGGGAGGTTGCGTGTGGGAGGTTGCGTGTGGGAGGTTGCGTGTGGGAGGTTGCGTGTGGGAGGTTGCGTGTGGGAGGTTGCGTGTGGGAGGTTGCGTGTGGGAGGTTTGCGTGTGGGAGGTTGCGTGTGGGAGGTTGCGTGTGGGAGGTTGCGTGTGGGAGGTTGCGTGTGGAGGTTGCGTGTGGGAGGTTGCGTGTGGGAGGTTGCGTGTGGGAGGTTGCGTGTGGGAGGTTGCGTGTGGGAGTTGCGTGTGGGAGGGTTGCGTGTGGGAGGTTGCGTGTGGAGGTTGCGTGTGGGAGGTTGCGTGTGGGAGGGTTGCGTGTGGGAGGTTGCGTGTGGGAGGTTGAGTGTGGGAGGTTGCGTGTGGGAGGTTGAGTGTGGGAGGTTGCGTGTGGGAGGTTGAGTGTGGGGAGGTTGCGTGTGGGAGGTTGCGTGTGGGAGGTTGCGTGTGGGAGGTTGCGTGTGGGAGGTTGCGTGTGGGAGGTTGCGTGTGGGAGGTTGCGTGTGGGAGGTTGCGTGTGGGAGGTTGCGTGTGGGAGGTTGCGTGTGGGAGGTTGCGTGTGGGAGGTTGCGTGTGGGAGGTTGCGTGTGGGAGGTTGCGTGTGGGAGGTTGCGTGTGGGAGGTTGCGTGTGGGAGGTTGCGTGTGGGGGAGGTTGCGTGTGGGAGGTTGCGTGTGGGAGGTTGCGTGTGGGAGGTTGCGTGTGGGAGGTTGCGTGTGGGAGGTTGCGTGTGGGAGGTTGCGTGTGGGAGGTTGCGTGTGGGAGGTTGCGTGTGGGAGGTTGCGTGTGGGAGGTTGCGTGTGGGAGGTTGCGTGTGGGAGGTTGCGTGTGGGAGGTTGCGTGTGGGAGGTTGCGTGTGGGAGGTTGCGTGTGGGAGGTTGCGTGTGGGAGGTTGCGTGTGGGAGGTTGCGTGTGGGAGGTTGCGTGTGGGAGGTTGCGTGTGGGAGGTTGAGTGTGGGAGGTTGCGTGTGGAGGTTGCGTGTGGGAGGTTGCGTGTGGGAGGTTGCGTGTGGGAGGTTGCGTGTGGGAGGTTGCGTGTGGGAGGTTGCGTGTGGGAGGTTGCGTGTGGGAGGTTGCGTGTGGGAGGTTGCGTGTGGGAGGTTGCGTGTGGAGGTTGCGTGTGGGAGGTTGCGTGTGGGAGGTTGCGTGTGGGAGGTTGCGTGTGGGAGGTTGCGTAGGTGCGTGTGGGAGGTTGCGTGTGGGAGGTTGCGTGTGGGAGGTTGCGTGTGGGAGGTTGCGTGTGGGAGGTTGCGTGTGGGAGGTTGCGTGTGGGAGGTTGCGTTGTGGGAGGTTGCGTGTGGGAGGTTGCGTGTGGGAGGTTGCGTGTGGGAGGTTGCGTGTGGGAGGTTGCGTGTGGGAGGTTGCGTGTGGGAGGTTGCGTGTGGGAGGTTGCGTGTGGGAGGTTGCGTGTGGGAGGTTGCGTGTGGGAGGTTGCGTGTGGGAGGTTGCGTGTGGGAGGTTGCGTGTGGGAGGTTGCGTGTGGGAGGTTGCGTGTGGGAGGTTGCGTGTGGGAGGTTGCGTGTGGGAGGTTGCGTGTGGGAGGTTGCGTGTGGAGGTTGCGTGTGGGAGGTTGCGCTGTGGGAGGTTGCGCGTGGTTGCGTGTGGGAGGTTGCGTGTGGGAGGTTGCGTGTGGGAGGTTGCGTGTGGGAGGTTGCGTGTGGGAGGTTGCGTGTGGGAGGTTGCGTGTGGGAGGTTGCGTGTGGGAGGTTGCGTGTGGGAGGTTGCGTGTGGGAGGTTGCGTGTGGGAGGTTGCGTGTGGGAGGTTGCGTGTGGGAGGTTGCGTGTGGGAGGTTGCGTGTGGGAGGTTGCGTGTGGGAGGTTGCGTGTGGGAGGTTGCGTGTGGGAGGTTGCGTGTGGGAGGTTGCGTGTGGGAGGTTGCGTGTGGGAGGTTGCGTGTGGGAGGTTGCGTGTGGGAGGTTGCGTGTGGGAGGTTGCGTGTGGGAGGTTGCGTGTGGGAGGTTGCGTGTGGGAGGTTGCGTGTGGGAGGTTGCGTGTGGGAGGTTGCGTGTGGGAGGTTGCGTGTGGGAGGTTGCGTGTGGGAGGTTGCGTGTGGGAGGTTGCGTGTGGGAGGTTGCGTGTGGGAGGTTGCGTGTGGGAGGTTGCGTGTGGGAGGTTGCGTGTGGGAGGTTGCGTGTGGGAGGTTGCGTGTGGGAGGTTGCGTGTGGGAGGTTGCGTGTGGGAGGTTGCGTGTGGGAGGTTGCGTGTGGGAGGTTGCGTGTGGGAGGTTGCGTGTGGGAGGTTGCGTGTGGGAGGTTGCGTGTGGGAGGTTGCGTGTGGGAGGTTGCGTGTGGGAGGTTGCGTGTGGGAGGTTGCGTGTGGGAGGTTGCGTGTGGGAGGTTGCGTGTGGGAGGTTGCGTGTGGGAGGTTGCGTGTGGGAGGTTGCGTGTGGGAGGTTGCGTGTGGGAGGTTGCGTGTGGGAGGTTGCGTGTGGGAGGTTGCGTGTGGGAGGTTGCGTGTGGGAGGTTGCGTGTGGGAGGTTGCGTGTGGGAGGTTGCGTGTGGGAGGTTGCGTGTGGGAGGTTGCGTGTGGGAGGTTGCGTGTGGGAGGTTGCGTGTGGGAGGTTGCGTGTGGGAGGTTGCGTGTGGGAGGTTGCGTGTGGGAGGTTGCGTGTGGGAGGTTGCGTGTGGGAGGTTGCGTGTGGGAGGTTGCGTGTGGGAGGTTGCGTGTGGGAGGTTGCGTGTGGGAGGTTGCGTGTGGGAGGTTGCGTGTGGGAGGTTGCGTGTGGGAGGTTGCGTGTGGGAGGTTGCGTGTGGGAGGTTGCGTGTGGGAGGTTGCGTGTGGGAGGTTGCGTGTGGGAGGTTGCGTGTGGGAGGTTGCGTGTGGGAGGTTGCGTGTGGGAGGTTGCGTGTGGGAGGTTGCGTGTGGGAGGTTGCGTGTGGGAGGTTGCGTGTGGGAGGTTGCGTGTGGGAGGTTGCGTGTGGGAGGTTGCGTGTGGGAGGTTGCGTGTGGGAGGTTGCGTGTGGGAGGTTGCGTGTGGGAGGTTGCGTGTGGGAGGTTGCGTGTGGGAGGTTGCGTGTGGGAGGTTGCGTGTGGGAGGTTGCGTGTGGGAGGTTGCGTGTGGGAGGTTGCGTGTGGGAGGTTGCGTGTGGGAGGTTGCGTGTGGGAGGTTGCGTGTGGGAGGTTGCGTGTGGGAGGTTGCGTGTGGGAGGTTGCGTGTGGGAGGTTGCGTGTGGGAGGTTGCGTGTGGGAGGTTGCGTGTGGGAGGTTGCGTGTGGGAGGTTGCGTGTGGGAGGTTGCGTGTGGGAGGTTGCGTGTGGGAGGTTGCGTGTGGGAGGTTGCGTGTGGGAGGTTGCGTGTGGGAGGTTGCGTGTGGGAGGTTGCGTGTGGGAGGTTGCGTGTGGGAGGTTGCGTGTGGGAGGTTGCGTGTGGGAGGTTGCGTGTGGGAGGTTGCGTGTGGGAGGTTGCGTGTGGGAGGTTGCGTGTGGGAGGTTGCGTGTGGGAGGTTGCGTGTGGGAGGTTGCGTGTGGGAGGTTGCGTGTGGGAGGTTGCGTGTGGGAGGTTGCGTGTGGGAGGTTGCGTGTGGGAGGTTGCGTGTGGGAGGTTGCGTGTGGGAGGTTGCGTGTGGGAGGTTGCGTGTGGGAGGTTGCGTGTGGGAGGTTGCGTGTGGGAGGTTGCGTGTGGGAGGTTGCGTGTGGGAGGTTGCGTGTGGGAGGTTGCGTGTGGGAGGTTGCGTGTGGGAGGTTGCGTGTGGGAGGTTGCGTGTGGGAGGTTGCGTGTGGGAGGTTGCGTGTGGGAGGTTGCGTGTGGGAGGTTGCGTGTGGGAGGTTGCGTGTGGGAGGTTGCGTGTGGGAGGTTGCGTGTGGGAGGTTGCGTGTGGGAGGTTGCGTGTGGGAGGTTGCGTGTGGGAGGTTGCGTGTGGGAGGTTGCGTGTGGGAGGTTGCGTGTGGGAGGTTGCGTGTGGGAGGTTGCGTGTGGGAGGTTGCGTGTGGGAGGTTGCGTGTGGGAGGTTGCGTGTGGGAGGTTGCGTGTGGGAGGTTGCGTGTGGGAGGTTGCGTGTGGGAGGTTGCGTGTGGGAGGTTGCGTGTGGGAGGTTGCGTGTGGGAGGTTGCGTGTGGGAGGTTGCGTGTGGGAGGTTGCGTGTGGGAGGTTGCGTGTGGGAGGTTGCGTGTGGGAGGTTGCGTGTGGGAGGTTGCGTGTGGGAGGTTGCGTGTGGGAGGTTGCGTGTGGGAGGTTGCGTGTGGGAGCAGGCGAATAGGTGGGGGCGCATGGGCATGGGAGGCGGTGACTCACTCGGAAGACGTTGGAGGTGCCGGCGAAGAGGTAGGAGGAGTTGACGAAGCGCGAGTACACGTGGCGCTTCACCAGCGTGCGCACGGATGATGGGCAGTGCAACAACACATCGTCCCTCACCTGTTTGCATGCATGCACACACGCACACATGCATGGACACATACATGCACACATGCACACACGCGTGCACACATGCAGACATGTACACATGCACACATGCACACATGCACACAGGCACATAAACGCATGCCGACATGGGATGAACACACCCCCAACACCGGGAACATGGGCAGTGAGATTCGAGTCCACACCATCCCGCTGGCCTCTGCACCAACTCACCCACCCCCACGCGAAACGCCGTAGAACTCCTTGCTGTGCCCTCCCTCTCACCTCTGCAGTGAAAAAGTGCAGCAAGAGGTGCGCCTGCACTTCAACTCCTCTCCACCCGCTCACCTCTGCCGCATGCCCCACTCAGCTTCACAATGCGTCCCTCAAGTCACCCCCACATACCCCTACCCACTCACCTCCGCGGTGTCGAAGTGCAGCTTGAGGTGCGCCTGCACCTGCTCCTGCAGTGAGGCCGGCACCACATGTGCCCGCATGTACCTGGGGGGGATGAGGCATGCAGAAGGATCAAAAGGTTAGATCAAGGAAAGTTGGGATCAAGAAGTGGGATGGGATGGGATGACCATTTGGGCCTATTGGTCAATCGATCATGCTGCCTAACTCAGCTTTGGATGAACCCATCCTTCCCCACCTAAATGTCTGCCTGCCTTTCACTTGCATTTCTCTCAACATGCACACATACCCACGCACACACATTACGCCTCCCCATCTCCTCCCCACGCACACAGCATGCAGGGCCCACCGGTTGATGGCGCTGAGGCGGTCACGGTAGGTGGCGGTGTGGGCGTCGGCCTTGGTGAGCAGCACGGTCATGTTGCCCAGCACGTACGCCGTGAGGCCCAGATTCACCAGCATGAACAGCGCCGCCCATATACGCTCCGGTACTGTGAAGGCTGACAGGTCGCCGTAGCCTGCAGTGGGGGGTGTTGGGTTGAGTGGATGCTCTGAACGGGTGAGTGCACTGAGGGAGAAAATGCATTGAGGGGGTGATTGTGAAAAGAGAGAGAATGCATTAGGAGTGCTAAGGGATCGAATACATTTAGAAAGTGTATGCGCTGAGCAAGTGGGATTGGGAGTCCTGTTGACAGGCAGGGTGGGCTGAAGTGAGGGTCTCATGCGCTCTCATGCGCTCTCATGCGCTCTCATGCGCTCTCATGCGCTCTCATGCGCTCTCATGCGCTCACATGCGCTCTCATGCGCTCTCATGCGCTCACATGCGCTCTCATGCGCTCACATGCGCTCTCATGCGCTCACATGCGCTCACATGCGCTCTCATGCGCTGACATGCGCTGACATGCGCTCTCATGCGCTCACATGCGCTCTCATGCGCTCACATGCGCTCTCATGCGCTCACATGCGCTCTCATGCGCTCACATGCGCTCTCATGCGCTCACATGCGCTCTCATGCGCTCACATGCGCTCTCATGCGCTCACATGCGCTCTCATGCACTCACATGCGCTCTCATGCGCTCACATGCGCTCTCATGCGCTCACATGCGCTCTCATGCGCTCACATGCGCTCTCATGCGCTCACATGCGCTCACATGCGCTCTCATGCGCTCACATGCGCTCTCATGCGCTCTCATGCGCTCTCATGCGCTCTCATGCGCTCACATGCGCTCTCATGCGCTCTCATGCGCTCACATGCGCTCTCATGCGCTCACATGCGCTCTCATGCGCTCACATGCGCTCTCATGCGCTCACATGCGCTCTCATGCGCTCACATGCGCTCTCATGCGCTCACATGCGCTCTCATGCACTCACATGCGCTCTCATGCGCTCACATGCGCTCTCATGCGCTCACATGCGCTCTCATGCGCTCACATGCGCTCTCATGCGCTCACATGCGCTCACATGCGCTCTCATGCGCTCACATACGCTCACATGCGCTCTCATGCGCTCACATGCGCTCACATGCGCTCTCATGCGCTCACATGCGCTCTCATGCGCTCACATGCGCTCTCATGCGCTCACATGCGCTCTCATGCGCTCACATGCGCTCTCATGCGCTCACATGCGCTCTCATGCGCTCACATGCGCTCTCATGCACTCACATGCGCTCTCATGCGCTCACATGCGCTCTCATGCGCTCACATGCGCTCTCATGCGCTCACATGCGCTCTCATGCGCTCACATGCGCTCTCATGCGCTCACATGCGCTCTCATGCGCTCACATGCGCTCTCATGCGCTCACATGCGCTCTCATGCGCTCACATGCGCTCTCATGCACTCACATGCGCTCTCATGCGCTCACATGCGCTCTCATGCGCTCACATGCGCTCTCATGCGCTCACATGCGCTCTCATGCGCTCACATGCGCTCTCATGCGCTCACATGCGCTCACATGCGCTCACATGCGCTCACATGCGCTCACATGCGCTCACATGCGCTCACATGCGCTCACATGCGCTCACATGCGCTCACATGCGCTCACATGCGCTCTCATGCGCTCACATGCGCTCTCATGCGCTCACATGCGCTCTCATGCGCTCACATGCGCTCTCATGCGCTCACATGCGCTCACATGCGCTCACATGCGCTCACATGCGCTCACATGCGCTCACATGCGCTCACATGCGCTCACATGCGCTCACATGCGCTCACATGCGCTCTCATGCGCTCACATGCGCTCACATGCGCTCTCATGCGCTCACATGCGCTCTCATGCGCTCACATGCGCTCTCATGCGCTCACATGCGCTCTCATGCGCTCACATGCGCTCTCATGCGCTCACATGCGCTCACATGCGCTCACATGCGCTCACATGCGCTCACATGCGCTCACATGCGCTCACATGCGCTCACATGCGCTCACATGCGCTCACATGCGCTCACATGCGCTCACATGCGCTCACATGCGCTCACATGCGCTCACATGCGCTCACATGCGCTCACATGCGCTCACATGCGCTCTCATGCGCTCACATGCGCTCTCATGCGCTCACATGCGCTCTCATGCGCTCACATGCGCTCTCATGCGCTCACATGCGCTCTCATGCGCTCACATGCGCTCACATGCGCTCTCATGCGCTCACATGCGCTCACATGCGCTCACATGCGCTCACATGCGCTCACATGCGCTCACATGCGCTCACATGCGCTCACATGCGCTCACATGCGCTCACATGCGCTCACATGCGCTCACATGCGCTCACATGCGCTCACATGCGCTCACATGCGCTCACATGCGCTCACATGCGCTCACATGCGCTCACATGCGCTCACATGCGCTCACATGCGCTCACATGCGCTCTCATGCGCTCACATGCGCTCACATGCGCTCTCATGCGCTCACATGCGCTCACATGCGCTCTCATGCGCTCACATGCGCTCACATGCGCTCACATGCGCTCTCATGCGCTCACATGCGCTCACATGCGCTCTCATGCGCTCACATGCGCTCACATGCGCTCTCATGCGCTCACATGCGCTCACATGCGCTCTCATGCGCTCACATGCGCTCACATGCGCTCTCATGCACTCACATGCGCTCTCATGCACTCACATGCGCTCTCATGCACTCACATGCGCTCTCATGCACTCACATGCGCTCTCATGCACTCACATGCGCTCTCATGCACTCACATGCGCTCTCATGCACTCACATGCGCTCTCATGCACTCACATGCGCTCTCATGCACTCACATGCGCTCTCATGCACTCACATGCGCTCTCATGCACTCACATGCGCTCTTATGCACTCACATGCGCTCTCATGCACTCACATGCGCTCTCATGCACTCACATGCGCTCTCATGCACTCACATGCGCTCTCATGCACTCACATGCGCTCTCATGCACTCACATGCGCTCTCATGCACTCACATGCGCTCTCATGCACTCACATGCGCTCTCATGCTCTCACATGCGCTCTCATGCACTCACATGCGCTCTCATGCACTCACATGCGCTCTCATGCACTCACATGCGCTCTCATGCACTCACATGCGCTCTCATGCACCCACAAACAGTTATGGCACAGGACCTGTGGTGGAGAGGGTGGTCATCGCCCTGCAGGACCAGCAGCACATGGCGCAAAGATTAGAAGCACCGAACCGAATGCGCCGTTCGAAGCAAAAGCGCGCCTCCCATGTTGAGGCGAGGATCGTCCCACGAGGACCAAGTTTATGGCGGAAGACAGGCACAGAGTCAATGAGAATGGTATCGAGGATGATGCGAGTGAGTGGGAGGGGTGGGAGGGGCAAAGGAGACAGACGCGGAAAGGCACGTTCCGTGAGCAGGTGCATGCAGGCAGAAAAAGACACATGTCACATGATTGGTATACCGTGCCAAGTGCTGTTTCCGATTATAGCATTCCATGCTGACGAGAAGACATGGATCACATAAGCTAAACCGTGGCAACCATGTGATGCGAGGAGAAGAGAGAACCAAAGGGGCTATTGACACGTCGTTGGGTTGGGGGATGCACGGAAGGCGCAACGGTTCATTGGGTCATTTCAGAAACTGGTCTGCTAAAATGGCAGGGCAGTAGGCGACCATGATGAGGTGGTTCGGTAGCGCACAGCGGAATCAAAAACTGAGGGTGGGGTGAACCGGGGAACAGATAGCAGCGCACCAGTAGATGGATGTGACATAGGCGTCGAGCGGAGGGCGCAGAGGCAGGTCGGGCTCACAGTGCCCCACCCACTGGGATGGGGAAATGAGCAGCGGGAGGTGGAGGAGAACGACGTTTGGGAGGGGGACGAGGATGCAATTAAGAGGGTGGCGAAGCGGGAGGAAGGGAGAGAAGAGGAAAGAGAGAGATGGGGGGGGCCGGGGGTGGAGAGGGGGGGGAAGGAGACGGATGACAAGGAATGAAGAGTGGTGGCAGGGGCATGGCAGCAGACAGCCCTGTTGGCAGCTCACCGTATCCTCACTGAAGTTGCACACAGGAAGGCCAGCAGACAACCTGGTGGGCAAAGAGGCGTGGCATACAGCCCACCTTGCCTGGCAGCACACAGCCCACCATGCCTGGCAGCACACAGCCCACCATGCCTGGCAGCACACAGCCCACCATGCCTGGCAGCACACAGCCCACCATGCCTGGCAGGCAGCACACAGCCCACCATGCCTGGCAGGCAGCACACAGCCCACCAGCCCCTCCTCTCTGCCCACTTGTCAAAGGCGTCGTCAAAACCTCAGGAGTCACTTCACAAGAAAGACCAAACCCCTCCTCTGTCTGCCCTCTGTTCCTCATCCCTCCTCTCTGTCCCTTATTCAACCGAGTCTTCATCATGAGTGCCGGAGTCACAATCACGCCACACAACATGCAGCTGCAGCTCACCGTGTCCTCGCTGAAGTTGCGAACGCGCGCGAGGAGGAAGAAGACACAGGCGGACCAGTGGGCGGCGAAGAGGATGAGGAGGGCAAACTTGTGCACACTGGTGGAGATGTAGTCGTACCGCACGTCCACTGCCATGTCCCACAGCACGTTCCAGCTGGGAAGGGGGGGAAGAGGGGAATGTGCCACACACACACACACACACACACACACACACACACACACGTGGGTACGGAGTGCAGTGAGCCACCGATGTAGTCCTCACAGCGCACGTGCACCGCCATGTCCCACAGCACGTTCCACCTGGGAGGCATGGACGCGGGGAAACGATCGGGTTGAGCAGAGGGGCATTGAGAGGGGAAGTCAGAGCGCATAAACGCCATGGAGGAAGTTCTGCCTGCAAGGCAAGGCACGGAGAAGGCGGGAGTGATGCCAGAAAGTTAATCATGAAGAGAGAGGGGCGATGGATGGGGTTGAGCAGAGGGGAGCGATGGGATGAGATGAGGTGCATCACAGAGGACGTCAAAGCGCACCGCGACCACAGGCGGCCCTCACAGGCAGGCAGCCCTCCCTGACAAGCGGGTGGCCCTCACAAGCAGGCGGCCCTCACAAGCAGGTGGCCCTCACAAGCAGGTGGCCCTCACAAGCAGGTGGCCCTCACAAGCAGGTGGCCCTCACATGAAGGTGGCCCTCACAAGCAGGTGGCCCTCACAAGCAGGTGGCCCTCACAAGCAGGTGGCCCTCACATGAAGGTGGCCCTCACAAGTAGGTGGCCCTCACAAGCAGGTGGCCCTCACAAGCAGGTGGCCCTCACATGAAGGTGGCCCTCACAGGCAGGCGGCCCTCACAGCCCTCACAAGCAGGTGGCCTTCACAGGCGGCTCTCACTCACAGGCGGATGAGGCGCAGTAGTCGCAGCAGGCCGAAGGCGGAGAGGGCGACAGCAGCGGTGCCGGTGGGCTGATACACGCCCTTGAGCACCAGATCCCATGGCAGCGCTGCCAGCATGTCGTACCAGAACATGCCCCGTAGGTACCTGAGGGGGGAGAGGAGAAGAAGAAACATGAGAGGAGAAGGGGGGGAAAAGGGTAAGGAACAAAAAAGCGATAATAATAAGGACGACATATGGATGGTCACACTCAGCAGTGGGAGCATGTGCGTGTAACGTAAGTGGCGCTTAAAACGAGGGTGTACATTTGTCCTTGCAACAGTGCTGACGTCAGCACTCGGTTCATTCAGAGTATTCTTTTTTGAACCCACGAGGACAAATGTGGACCCTCGTTTTAAGAAAATGAGAAAGAGTACACATGCTTACTCGACGGCAATGCTGGCGAGGCTGGTCTTCCACTCGCCCATTCGGAACTCGGGCACGAAGAAGCTGAGCAGCACGTCGCTCAGAAACACCTGCGGGGCAAGAAGGGGCGAGAAGGGGCAAGGGGCGAGAAGGGGCAAGGGGCGAGAAGGGGCAAGGGGCGAGAAGGGGCAAGGGGCGAGAAGAGGCAAGGGGGACGAAGCGAAGGAGGACGAAAAGGGGGGAAGGAGGTCGAGGGGTGGTGAGGGGGGGGCGAAGAGGGACGAGGTGGGCTGAGAGGGGGCGCCGGGTGGCAAAAGGGGGTGAGGAAAACTGAGGCAGAGACACAGAGGAAAGCACATGAAATGAGAGTGTGTGGCATCAAAACAAAGAGCAGCACGTTGCTCAGGACCTCAAGGAGAGGATGGCGCGAGGAGGGGTTGGGGAGGGGGCGATGAGAGGCAGAGACGCAGGGGGCGAGGCAATGAGCGTGATCAGGCAGAAAAAGAGGGAATCAGTGTGCATAAGAAGCGGAGAGGGGAAGTGCGTGGCTCAGGGTAACTCTGCTGCCCTGATGATAAGGACTCCACTCCACTCCATGGCACGGCCCACCCCATCCCGCACTTAAACCCCGCATTAAGCACTCACGGCGTCGGTGCAATAGATGAACACGTTGACTGGCGTGAACACATTCTCGGTGTCGAGGAACGCGACGTTGAAGGGCTCAACGATGCCGATGAGGATGGCCAGCAGCAGCAGTGCCGCCTGGAACTGCTGGTACAGCGATGCCTGCGGGTTGATCACCCAGTCTGATAGATACACCGAATCTGGCCCGCCCTCGCCCCCCTCGCCCTCCCCTGCCGCCTCGCTTGATGGAGGCACCTCTGAGATGGCCTGAAGGCAGGATGGGGTGCGGTCGAGTGGGGTGGGATGGGATGGGATGGGATGGGATGGGATGGGATGGGATGGGATGGGATGGGATGGGATGGGATGGGATGGGATGGGATGGGTTGGGATGGGATGGGATGGGACGGGACAGGATGGGACGGGACGGGATGGGACGGGATGGGACGGAACGGGACGGGACCAAACGGAACGGGACAGCGGGACGGGACGAGACGGGACGGGATGGGATGGGACGGGATGGGATGGGAGGGATGGGATGGGAGGGATGGGACGGGAAAAGGGTCCGACAGAGGGAAGTGCGAAACAAACAGCACAAATCCGCAGCAAGCAAGCGCATCCCACTGATCCCAAGCAGCTCACCTCGAACATGCTCCCACTGTACATATCCCCGCGGTGAAAGCTACTCTCCGGAGTCACATTCAAGCTGTTACTCCCACTCCCTCCTCCCCCTCCCGCACTGCCAAAGCTCCCCGCACTCCCGCCACTGTCAGCCCGGGACAAACTGTGCCGCCCACTCCCAACGCTGCCGGCCGCCCCGGGCGGCAGCAGGTGCTGCTGCGAGGCGAGGGAGTCGTCTGATCCAGACCCCTTGCGGCGGCGGATGGACTCAAAGCGCAGCATGGAGGCGGACTTGTGCAGAATGGCCCTCAGCTCGGGGGACTCTAGAGGTGCCAGGCGGGCGGGTTGGAGGGGCTGGTGGGAGAGAGGATGGGGAACGGGGAGGTGAGGGGAGTTGGAGGATGCAGGGGAGGGGGAAGGGGAGAGTTGTGGTTGTTACAGGGGGGGCTGCCAACCTCCTGCCAGCAGGAGAGTTGCAGAAGGGCTCTCAGCTCGGGGGATTTGATTGGTGCCAGGCGGGCGGATTGGAGGGGCTGGTGGAAAGGTTGGGGGGCGTGGCGCGTGATGCGGGTGTGTGGGGTTGAGAGAGGGTGGGGGTTGTGTAGGGGTGGGGTATTGGGGGGTTGTGACGGGGTGGGGGTTGCGGGGTTTGTGGGGGGACGGGAGGTGGTGAGAGGGAACGGTATCTTGTGACAGTTCCCTGGGGGCATCATGCACGTCACGATGGAGCAAGCGCGCCATGCAGGCTGCACCCACCTGCTCGAGGCCATCAGCGGGGTCCCTCTCCCCACGCTCGTCCCTCTCCCCACGCTCGTCCCTCTCCCCACGCTCGTCCCTCTCCCCACGCTCGTCCCTCTCCCCACGCTCGCCCCTCTCCCCACGCTTCTCTCCCTCTCCCCACGCTTCTCTCCCTCTCCATGCTGCTTCCTCTCCCCACCCTCGTCCCTCTCCCCGCGCGCATCCCTATCCCCACAGCTCTCGCCATCGCCCACGGTGCTCAAGAGCAACCTGCACGCACCTGCTCGAGCCCATCAGCGGGATCGCCGCTCATCCCCCTTTCCACTGCCCGCGCCATCGCCCACGGTGCGCTCCCCCTGTCCTCCACCTCCCCGCCTCTCCCCGCAGCACCCCCTCCTGTTGCTGGCCCCACTCCTGCTGGCCCCACTCCTGCCGCCCCTTCGCCGCGCATGTCGACAGTAAACGCGAACGCCTCGTGCTTGCTGTACGCCGCAACCGGCGCCGCGGGCGGCGGCACAGCAGACGCCGCAATTGGCGACGCGAATGGCGAGACGGACGGGCTTCGATAATCCCTGTCTGTGGCTTCTGCATGAAAGGCCCAGTTCGATGCTGACGTGGAATCCGCAGAACGCGCCGTGTGGACAAGGGATACCGTCGCTCCCGACCCTGTCACTGGTGCTAATCCGACGGTTCCCGATGCTTCAAATGCAGAAGGTGAAGGCGATCCTACGGCCCAGGAGGACCCGCCGCTGCGGTTGCTACTTGCGGATGCCGTTCCTCGGATGAAGCCGGGAGCAATCAACGGCTGGTTCTCCTCCTCTCGGGGTTCCATCTGTCACGGCTTTCAGGTGATCCGTTGCGAATTGCAAATGATCTTGCACGAAGAGCACGGAGGAACTGTAACGAACATTAAATATGTTCAGCAAACGTGGTCAATATGATCTGTTGCGGGCTGCTCAGTGAGCTGCCACTACCTTAACGTAATCCGATATCCTCTCTGTTACGATAACGGTAGTGTAATCATCGAACGAAGCGCAGGTTGCGGTAAGGACAGTCAAACGGCACCAGCAACCCTAAATGGCTGCGCTCTCGTCCTCACGGAAGCAACAGCGCGCACACGCTAGCTCCTCCTGGATGCCTCATGCTTATCGTCCCCCTCCATTCCTAGCTCGCCCGTTTTACACGCCGGATGTCACGGTGATCGGCTACCGTACCAGTAACACAATACATGCCACAAGACAGGAATAAATGGTGTTGCATATGGGTTCTCCATTCCACCTCGTTTGCCAGATGTGAACAGCTCACATATGAACACCCGCATTTGTGTTCGGTTCGAAGAGTTTCTGTGCGTTGGAATGAGGTCAGCTCAGCATGTGACGACCACTACCACAACAAGCAAATGGAAGGAGGGAAGGGGAGGGACAAGGGCAGGTTCGTTCGGTCCTTACCTCCCCTGTAGGGATTTCTGGCCAGTTACTTCGGGTGCAGTGACGCGACGCGGAAGTCAGGTGTAGACCTGGGGGCAGCGAAACTTGTCACGGAAAGCGAGCCAATCAGAAGCCAAGGCCACGTAGGCCGTCAGGTTCCAACCAATGCTTGGGGACGGTAGGAACTGTACTGTATTGCTGTACTGTACTGTACTTTAACTGTGAGGGAGGAAAGCATTAGAAAGTTAACATAACGCGCCCTATAACTATTAATGTTATGAGTTCTTTCGACATTCCATCATCTCCCGTACATAGTGTTATGAATAGTAAATTGAGAAACTGCACTGTGCATTCCTACCCGTAGCAAGAATGGAGAACGCAGAAAGGAGTACGAAGACGAAATGTCGAAGCGTTGCGAACAGTTAAAGAGAATCTGGACTTTCGAAGCAGACAACATCGGGCAGCTTCAGGAGCGAGGAGAAAGGCGGAAACACTTTCGTCACTGTACGCGTCGCACGGTTGGGTTTGAATTCAAATAAAGGAATGTACCGCTTAGAGTACATGGCTAGCTAGGACGTTTGGAGATAACTTAAAGTCAGGATCTCAAGTAAGAGAAATTGGCTTCAATTGCAAAACACTTGCAGCTCGAGTCACCCTGTTTGTGTAGGCGAAATCGAGTGGTTGGGTTGGAGGTTCAGTTCAGTGTGCGACAGATTTCCGTTTTGCCCATGAATCTCAATTGCAAAACAAATTTTTGTACATAAGATTTTTCGGCAGCTGCGACACATTGCTGGGAAATGAGCTTCGGAACCCAACCAGATTTCCGTGCGTAGGTGGTTCGGAAGCAGCCTGCGATTTTTGTTTGCTTCGCATCCCTCGTTTCAGCTCTCGTCAACTACTCTACCCCGTCAACCAATCACAGCCTAGCGCAATTCACTAACTGCAAAACAACCAAACTACTTGAGATCCTGGCTTTAATCAACGGGAGATAAACCACGGGCTAGGCACGGGATGGGAGTGATCGTAGCGTTCGTTCCTTAGTCGTTTCCTTGTGTTCTTACTGCTTGCTAGTTCACCGGGAAATTGGCAGAAGTTTCACTAGGAAAACATGACAACAATGATACAATGAAATTGGCAAGCAAGACTACACCAGATGCTAGCATGCAAGTCGGTCGACTGCCAGCGCAGCACGGCCGACCGCGTTCCCGCACGACTTGGTCAACCGCGCTCCAGCAGTGCACAACCGTGGTCTGCCAACAGTGAAAGTTTTGACGGCGTGCCAACGTTGCTCCCGCAGGACAGCAGCGCACGTGCTTCGCAGGTGCTCGCAGATGATTGGCGTGCCGTGCCTTGTCACCTACACAGCGCACACACCAGATCGACCTCGTGTTGACGATTGCATGTGATCTGCAACATCGACCTCGGGATACCACCACCGAGGTCGGTCTCGCCAATACCACCTGGGCGACCGTCGCACTCCTCCGCAGAACCTCGTCACCAGGTAAACTGGTCCACCGGGCAACCACGTCGACCAGTTGCTCCTTCACATGACCGTCGACGACCACCTCCAGTCGAACACACCAGGTCGACTTTACCTTCAGTCGACCAGCTCGAGGTCGACCATACTCCTGGTCGACCAACACACCGGTCAGCCGACCACCCAGGTCGGCTTCCCCAAGTCGGCGTCACCAAGACGCCTCCGATGTCGACCTCGCCAGGTTGACCACCCGAAGTCGCCTCCGATGTCGACCTCGCCAGGTCGACCACCCGAAATCGGCGCCCTTGCAGTGGCCCCCGTGCAGGTCGACCAGCCCCGTCGACCAGCTCGCCCAGCCCCGTCGACCAGCTCGCCCACTGCTGCAGGTCGGCTACTCCCCTCACATCCGACCACGAAGTCAGCACCGCCCAAGCGAGGACGGACCAAACACAATTCCCGTTGACACTCCCCTGCCACGTTCACGCTTATGCTCCCCGACCCAAACGGCAGCACCACACGGAGAATAGCTCGTCGGCGTGCACCCAACACACAGCACCCCGGTCACCGCACCAGCCATGCAAGAGGGCATGGCACCTACTGCCGCTCGTCGTCGTCGACATCGCCTACGTCGAGGAGCAGATGACGCACTTGCGGATGGGCGAGCAAAAGACGGCGACCGACTACTGCAACCGAGCATGGCAACTTCTCGCCACCATGAGGATGTCCCGCGTGCAGTACTCGACTGCATCGTACGTCACCCACGTCCTGAAGGGGCTCTTAAGCAGCTACAACTTGATGAAGCGGATGTCGGTGGTGGTGACGCGCTCGTACATCCTCCGGGACGAGGCGATGCAAGAGGCCGAGCGGTCCATGGAGCTCCGAGCAGTCCATGGAGCGGTCCGAGAGGTGGGTCAGGGTAGTGGATGGGGGAGGGGATTGGGCTTAAGACTCTAGAATGTTACAAGGCGGAGAGAGGGGTTGCCGCGTAGCACAGGTTCACGAGCGACTCCTGTACCAGTCGGTTCCAGAAGGCCTGGTGGGTGGGAGAGAGCAGCAGGGAGGAGTGGAGAAGAACAGTACAATGGGTACGGGTTGTGCAGGCAGATTGTGAAAAGATGGGGGTGAGGGAACTGAAAAGCAGCAGGAAACAAACACTTGATGCAACAACGGAGCTGACTGTGCAAGGGTTGACACAGGGGAATGATGAGTGAGGGAGGCGGGTAGGTGAAGAAGGTGGAAGTGAGGGAGTGAGGTGGGCAGGCGGAGATGTGGAGATGCGGGGTATAGGGAGATGTGGGGTAGAGGGAGATGTAGGGTAGAGGGAGATGTGGGGTAGAGGGTGATGTGAAGTAGAGGGAGTTGTGGGGTAGAGGGAGATGTGGGGTAGACGGAGATGTGGGGTAGAGGGAGATGTGGGGTAGAGGGAGATGTGGGGTAGAGGGTGATGTGAGGTAGAGGGAGATGTGGGGTAGAGGGAGATGTGGGGTAGAGGGAGATGTGGGGTAGAGGGAGATGGGGTAGAGGGAGATGGCGGAACAGCGCAACGAAATGGACTCATTACAGAACTCTCTTGCTGCACCCACAACTAATCGTGCAAGGGCTAAACACACAGTGAGCGGCAGGGCTAACAGAGAGTGCACGGCACAGTGAGTGAGGTGAGGGGGGCAAAAGAAAGGAGAACGGGAGAATGGGGTAGGTAGGTTTCGGGTACCCATCCCGAGGTCACACCCCCTTATACCCCCCCTGCCATGCTGCCATGCCGCTCCCCCTCCCCCCCCCCCCCCCCCCCACCACCTCACATCGACCTCGTCTCTTGAGCAGCAGAGACAGCTCCGCCATGTTGCTGTTCGGGGTAGAAACGGCCCTGTTGCGCGCCCTGCACAAGTCGCGAGGGCAGGACAGGAGTGGGTGGAAAAGATGTGATGTGGCGCTTGGGATGATGAAGAGCATTGGGGGAGGCAAGGATTATTTGTATAAACCCATGCGAGGGGCCGAGGGTTTCAGAGAAAAGTATGTACGGTCCGAGAAGAACCGGTTGTGTTCAATGCGCTTCGTTTGGATAAGAAGAACCGAACCAAACAATTCCATGTGAGCTCTTGTCGGTTTGAGTCAACCCTTTTGACAAGAAGGTTATATGCTCGTGACGATACAGCACCCACCGGTTGAGCAGGTTGGCGATGACGTGGCGGTCGTCAGCGGGGTGAGTGCGAGCCATGGAGCGGCAGTCGTTTCGTGAGATGGAGAGCACCCGACACACCGACAGCGTGCGCACCATCCACAGCTCCGTGAGGTCGCACAGGAAGGCGACCTCTCAAGGGGTTGGAGAGGGAGGGGGTAGGGCAGCACATCGTCGTTTAGCTGGGTATGGAACGACACCGACAGCGCTCGCACAGTTCACAGGTCCCTGAGGTCGCATAGGAAGGCGATATCTGGCAGGGGAATGTGGGGAGTAAGAAACTGCATTGGCACAAGATTGCAATATGAGAATCGGGTGGGATAAGCTGGATACCACCCACTCCAGATACCACCTTTCCGCATGCTCTCATCCTTGCCAACGACAACCCCTTTTGCTTGGCATACTTGGTATGCCCCCCCCTGGCCCCAGCGTGCCCCACTGCCCCCTGCCTTGCACTACACAACTCACCTCCCTTGCTCTTTGCACACCTCCCTTGCACTCCCCACACCTCCCTATTCACTCCCCACACCTCCCCATGCACTCCCCACCCCACACCTCCCCATGCACTCTCCACACCTCCCTATGCACTCCCCACACCTCCATGCTCGTGCAGTAAGCAGCTCACCTCCCACGCAGTCGCCCTCGTGCAGCACGAACCACTGCATCTCATTGCCGTTCTTGTTATGCACTAGCACCTGCGCACGGGGGAGCGAGAGTGGGAGCAGACGCGACGGAGCAGTTTCGTGGTGCTA